AAAGAATAGGAACAGAATTGAAGGAAATTTACAGCCTACCAACAGCGAAAGGAATTTTGTTGATAAACAATTAATTCTGAACGTGAAGCCTCCCCTGTTTGTTAGGCACGCATCCCATTTGTTTAGGATAATTCCAATGCCGGTTGAGCATTAACAAGAATTGGTCAAGGTAGATTTGAACTCCTGGTATTTAGTATATAACTTCGAAATTGATTCCTATCATTCGATGACTGAAGCTACCTTGGACAAATGCCAAAATGGCGAACAAATAGAGGAGTATGCGAAGGTAATTGGCTTGTGAGATAGCTCCTTTCAAACCAAAAGGTAATTCAAATTGCGTGTATCAGGAGCCAACCAGCACAGCAACGCTCTGCATGAGTGAGTATTACACGCACAATATGATTTCACAAAAATATGTGATGATCTGTATGTATATATTAGATACTATCTACATATATATCTACTATCTACTGTATATGTATGATCTTTTCGTTTTTTAGAGTTCTGGCCCTGCAGTACGGGCCTTCGATGACTCATCTACTGACATGTCGATGACAGCGTCACTTCCGTCGATGACATAGTTGATGATCCGCCATACGCTGAGCTGTTGACATTAACATGGAGAGATCCTATGGCATGATGACACTGTCATCATGCATTTTATAAGCGATGATTTTTTTCGAAAAATCATGCACTTAATAAGCGATAATTTTTGTCGAAAATGCATGCATTTAATATGGAAAAACATTAATTTGGTAATTTTTGTCAATTTGCTTTATTTATAGAATATGTAATTCTTTTCTGCGGTGTTCAGAGCCTTGGATTTGTTTGATTTGATCTTGAGCTCTTCAGAAAGGCACTATTCTTAATATTATGAAGAGCCTTACGAATGGCCTTTTCAGTTTGCTCGTTCGGTATTTTTATTTTCACCGCCGCTGAAGTAATATGGATTAATTAATCAATTATTATGTTTTTTTAAAGTTTTTTTTCCAGGACATTATAAAATTCCTTGAAACTTCCAAGGGAACTCTTCCCCGAAGTTCCAAATAAATTTTACTCCAAAATAATCCTCTCGTGCACCATATTTTTTAAACTTCTTGACATTGATGGGCTCGTCCCCATTACGTTCCCTAATTTGTTAGTCTGATAAAAGAAAATAATGGAAAAAAAAACATTAATTAGCTGCCATGGAAAGATAGGCTACCACTCACAAAGAAATCGGTGCGCTCCGGAGTTATTATCGAGTTGAAATGCTCCAACTCCGTCATCGATTATGTAATTTTCTGCTACTTTTGGCTTTTTTTTTATTTGTAGCTTCACAAGTGCCACCGCCCCCGCAAATTTTTCTATCAAAACGTCGATTTTTTTTTAAATTATTATTTGGACTAACAATTCGCCATTTTCTTCTGAAATATAAACAAAAAAATGCATATTAGTGCACATGGATTTCAAACTTTCGAATCGATAACTTTTCGACAGCCATTTCTTACGTCCTTCGACCAAAATACCACGATTGGTGTTCAAACATGAACATATTATCGTCAATACAATGCCACTTTCGGCCCCTTGCAGAATGTTTAAACATAAATAGATTATTGTACCCACTCATGTAACAACACAGAAATCTAAAGAAATCACATAAAGTAGATAAGTTATGACTGCACTGGTGTAAACAGCGATCTGTAACCCATTAATACGACAACAAAACACAAGTGGAGAAAACACTTAACAAATGCGGTCCTAAAATAAAACTAATGTAAGCATGTACTCAAATAGACACCCTCAGTGAAGTGTATCCTCTGCGTAGGTCTAACGATAATTATAGACTACCAAATTGTACCTCCTACCTCATTGTCAAATCACATATAAGGCTCTGATTTTAAGAATAAAATTTAGTTTGAATTTACAACTCAACTCGCAAATGTCTAGACTTTTCTTTTAAGGTCTTAACAATTGGTATACTTAATTCCATCCGTTGATATCCCAGGCGGTGCGCGTGATCTTTCGGCTCACCAAAATCTCACACACAATTGCACTTCACATGCGAAAGGGTTAATTTGACTTGGCCCAACCCTGTTTGTTTGTCCCTTGTTACCGAATGACTTCGCTAACATCTACAAAAAGGCGTTGAGCGAATTTAAGAGGTTTTATTGCTGGTGGAGTATTTTTTTTTTTTTTAAACATATTTTTTTTTTTTTTTAGTATGATTTGCCAATGGAATTAAAATAACCCTAACTGACTAGACTTACTTATATATATTTTAAAAAGATATAAGTCAAAACCCATGTCAAAAGTCAAAACGCATTCCAGCTGGCAGCGTATTGTGCTGGCGAAGCGCCCGGCAAATGGGCTCATTAAAGCCATAATTGGTCCGGTGGAGATCAACTACAAAGAATGAAGCTTTAGGCTCCTGGCAGGCGTACTGAAGCCCATCCTACTAAGCTGGTCAGGGAAATCGATGTTACCCACTAGGAGGTCATAAATAATGATCTGGGCCGCAATGGTCCTTCGATCCTCAAGGGAGGAAAGATGCACGAGGCGACATCTGCATTCTGGCAAAGGCTGGAGTGCCAATTTCAGACTCTTTCTTTGCAGTCTCTGGATGCGAGAAATTTGAACGACCCCACTGGGATTCCAAACCATTGAAGCGTACTCAATTCTCCAGCGCACAAGGAATGAGTACAGACTTAGCTTCGTATATGGGTCCCTGAACTGGGATGATTTCGCCTAACGATGCCGAACATAGCATAGGCTTTTGGCAATATTAAATTCAAGCGCTCCACAAAAAGAAATTTTGAGTCCAATATGACCCCTATAGAGAGGACGGCCATCTATTCAATATATGCGGCTAACACATTGAGGACACACTTACTAAAAGAAAAAAAGTAAAATTTGCTAAAGTTGGGAGGAAACGACTTAAGTCTGCAACAAAGAGAAACTCTATTCAGGTCGCACTAAAGAAGGAAACTGTCACATAAGGTTTTGAGAGATCGGAAGATTTTAAGATTATCAGCATAAAGCAGATGCTCAGAAGCTTGAATGCTGATACATATGCCGTTGATAAATATTAAGAACAGTAGTGGGCCAAGTGCACTTCCCTGTGGAAGGCCGGAAATAGCGAAGAATGAGTCGGAAAGCTTTGCACTTACCAATACGACATCCTCTCGCAGCTCAAAATTTGATCTAAAACAACTGAGCAGGCAGGAATGAATTCCTAACCGATGTAGCTTGGCTATTAGGGCACAGTGGGAGACTTTGTCAATGGCCTTAGCAAAGTCAGTATACACAACATTTACTTGAGCGTGCATTTCAAACACACGAGTACAGAAATTACAAAAAGCGATAAGATTAGTGCCCGTTGATCTACTCAGCATAAAACCATACTGATTTGGGCTAATGTCGGCCTCCATGAGGAAAATGATCTATCTGCCAATTCGCTCAAGAAGTTTTGAAAAATTTGCTGATTTGGCAATTGGTCCATAATTAGAGATCAATTTTTGGCACCTTTCTTAAAAATTGACGTAATCGTGGCAACGTTCCACTTGCCAGTAAACCGACCTGTTAACAGCGAACTTATGAAGAAAATTATAAGAGGCTCACTGAACGCAGTTGCCATCAAGAATTTTCCTTTCATCAATTGCCTCCAAACTGTACACCAAGTATGCCAATATCGACCAGGGAATAGAGTTTAAGATATCGAAATTATGCCAAGCTTCGTATGGCTCAGAATTGGAGCTAAAAAAAAGGTAAAAAGGTTTGCTATGCCACTATCCGTAACTGAGCTAAAAATGACAACGTCGAAATCTCACGTATCGGTACAATCTAGGTGCTGATTCTGAAGAGAGTGTTCCACTTAAGAACGATCGTCGGGTTTCTGACTCTACCCAAATGTCGAGAGCAGCGACGGCGTAAGTATAGCACACGAAGCCTTGCTATAGCGGTAATTGTTGGAATGATGACGTCAGAAGCGTGCGTACTCGAGAAAGTCCGCCAGCATCGTCGTCTGATCCAGCAGAAACCGAGTGAATATCGCACAAAGTGCATAGTGAAGAAACAATGTTTTGTTGTTGTGTGATTGGAGATCGCCAAAAATGAAACAAAGGGCTGTTGCTCATAGCAAAAAGTAAAAAAAGTGCAAGCAGAATATGTTGTGGAGAAGTGGCGATCATAAAACCAGAGTCGCCGTTTACTGGGGGTTTCTTGAAGTAGATGGATCTGGAGCTCCCGGAGTTGGCGTGGACGTCCGCACAGCTGTACGCAAATTAACTGCTATCAAATAAGCTGCCGGTCTCTGTGCACAAAGCGGGAAACCCTTACCGATACTTCCCAGAATTTGTCATCAAAGCCCACACGAAATAGGGGTTCAGGGGCCCCAAGTTTAAAGCTTACGAATTTCAAAGCAGAATTTCATCACCGCCTCTGGCCCCGTCTTAGTAGAAAATTTACCAATATGAAGGTATTTGTTGCTCTGCATCACACTCAACGGCTCACAGCACGGAGTAACACCAACAAGACGATTAACATGTTTGTTTCGATTCTTCCTCTCTTTCCATCTGACTGTAATGAAGCCCTCCAAATCAGATGGTGGAGCAGCGGCTGATCCCAAGTCAATGACCTCAGTCGAGGTGGCGGCCACTAACCGTGGAGTCATTAAGTCGATCGCCGGCATGGGCTCACTGGAATCCTTCCTTGGAGCAATCGGCTTCACCCGCTCATGATAATTGACCGAAAGTGCAGTCTAAAAATCAGACTAAGATCCCGAGAAAGGGTTTTAGGCAACAGAACATTGTTATTAAATTCATTTTCGAATGCGAGTCATTCGCAACCACACAGTTATCACATCAAAAGCAATTGGTGGAATACCGCCAATGGTAAAAAATATCGATCAGAAAATTTCGTTTATATCGTTTATATATCAGATATATCGCTAAGTAACATCATTTCTAGTTTTCTCAACTCCATTAAAACTATAAATTAGAACCAGCTTAAAAGCATTTGGTGTGCCAAAAATATTTCTGTGTTTTGCAGTACTTGGTTGAATTGCGTTATTGCTCTGTTAAGATGGCATTGAAAGTATTAGTAGGCCAGAGTAAGTGCATACTAACCTTTTAAATTTATGTACCAACATGTGCGACATGTTTGTCGTTCATTGATTTTTCCAAACAAAAATGGTCAGTGACTATCAGTATAGGGAAAAATAAAAATAAATGTTTCATTACCTGCTACCACACCATTACATGTTCACCACACCTAATGGATTAACCATTTCACAACATAATAATCATTTCTTGATTTCACTAACATTACTTTCTTTGAGGAGCATAAGTTCTCAATTTGTAATGAGTCATAAAGCATGTTGTGTATGTGTCGACACTATTGATGTGGTGTTCTCATTTTAAATACGTACATTTGTATGTATGTGAGCCAGTTCATGATTCATGAACGAAAATAATATCGTTCAGAATAAAAAATCACCGTTTTCGCATGGTGGGTTATGTAAGATCAGCGTCAGTATCCAAATCGATATAAAATTGCTTAAGCCTAGTTTTCCGATGGTCTTGTAGCTAACGCAACCGAATTGTTTGTTTCCTGTGATATCAAACTGAAATATAACTGTTCCAACCATCATGAATCATGAAAAAGTATTATAGAAAGAGGAAGAAAAAAAAAATGTACCGTGATCTCTCCCTTCACACACTCTCTCAGACAGGAACAGTAGAAGTAAAGGAATTTTTCTCATGTGACACTAGTCAAATGTTTTTTTGCCAGCTTGGTAAGCTTGTGTTGTAAACCTAGTACTCAGATCGAATAAAATTTTCACCGACTAGAAGTCATACTACATATTTTGCTAGGGGTAAGGGTGTGACCAGGTGTTAATGCACTACGGTTACACTGTTTTGTGTTTATAGTCATATGAAACTAGACTTTGCTAAACTGGAAAGCCAAGCTAACGCATATGTATGTATTTATCTTGCTCTCACTGTATGGTTTTCCTATAAAGATATGTATCTCTGTTTTTTCAGTCTAATGTCATCGCACCACAAAGCTGGTTGTAAACGATGCAGCGACTGCAAATGCAGCATTTATTTCTGTATCGCTTCATGCTTTGTCATTAAATTAGTTGTGCTATCTCGCTTGTGCCAACGTAAGCTAAATGGAGTTGATATTCTGTGCAGCATAGGAATGTTGAGTGAAATGAGATTGTATGCCTCACACGTACACATACTCTCATGCAGCCGTTGTATCGTATACAAACAGCTTAAAAGCTATGTACATATATGTCATTAGTCTGCTAGCTGGCTAGCTGCCAAAACAGAGACGGCCTTATGGGAAAAGCATGCAGTGAGAGCGAGAGTACTTAGTTAGTATTTACTTTCAGCAGTAAATAAACAAATTTTCCAAAATTTTGGTTCCTTATTTAAGTGCGCTTTGGCGATTCTTTTCAGAAATCAAAGGTTTCTGCTCTTCCTCGGCTCTTGAAACCATCCTTGTGAAAAAAATTGGCAATTGTTTTTGGGTGCACAACTCCTGACTCCTGAAAACATTTCGATGTGTTCCGCCAATTTTGGTGCACCTATTTTCGGGATTTTATTAACTTCCTTGAGAATGCTTCTCTAGCCGCGACTCGATATCTTCTTTGGCCTTCCTGATCTCTTTATTTTCCGTGGTATTTTTATACCCGATACTCAAAATGAGTATTGGGGTATATTAGATTTGTGAATTTGAAAATGTATGTGTGAAACGTTTAGAAGGAATCGTTTCCGACCCTATAGATTAGGTAGGTTAGGTTAAGGCAGTAGCCGGGAGGGGGAGATAAAGAAACCACCGCCACCCCAAGCTCACTTGGACCTATAAGACGTCCATTGTGTTGCCGCATGGGCATGTGCCCCTTCTCGTTGCCTGAAACCATGAGAGCAGACTACTGCAGGTTAAGAGCAGTCCCATCCGGAGGCTTGGACAAGGTCCCAGGTTTTGTTTCGGACAGGTCCGTAATGTCCGGCTCCAAGAATACGAAGACGACGATTTCCAAGGGCCGGGCAGTCACAGAAGAAGTGGGGGACCGATTCCTTCTCTTCCTCGTCGCGACAACTTCTGCAGAAGTCGTTATGAGGGATTGACAGTCTAGAGGCATGAGTGCCGATCTGCCAGTGTCCCGTAATGGCTCGAGTAACTGCAGAGCACTGTGCTCTGCTGAGTCTATACAGCTCTGCTGAGCGCTTCTTCGATCGATATATCAATCTTGAGACTTTACAGGAGACGGTTTGCTGCCATCTCCTATTGGCACTTTGCTCGAACAATTCGTGCGTTAGGAGCCTGCACGTAGCTAAGGGCATCGCTACCTGCTCCCTCTCCGATAGGAGAGGGATCGTAGTACCCTATCTGGCTAGCTCGTCGGCGGCGTCGTTCCCCTCGATGTCCCTGTGGCCGGGGACCCATATAAGGAAGAGATCTAACTGCTCTGCGATCTCGTGCAGAGACCTGCGGCAGTCATTTACAGTCGCTGAGTTCGACGATATTGAGCCTAGAGCTTTAATAGCTGCTTGGCTGTCCGAGAAGACGCACACTAAGTGCGTGTCTAGAAGTAGTTTGGAGACGATAGAAATGGCCTCCTTGATCGCTACAACCTCCGCTTGGAACACACTACTGTGATCCGGGAGCCGGAGGCAATCACAGATGTTCAGCTCGCTGCAGTACATTCCGCCTCCCACGCGGCCGTCTAACTTTGAGCCATCAGTGTAGAAGTGAACCGCATTTGCAGGTCCTGGTTCGCCCATCTCCCAGTCCTCCCTAGCTGGGATAGATACCTGGAAAGGCGTCGAGAGGTGATCACTGATACAGTGATCTGTCCTCTCTGGTAATTGCGGGAATCTCATCAGGATTCCCGGGTGCCCAACCTCGGATGCTTTTCCGACCCCATAAAGTATATATGTATATTCTTGATCAGCATCAATAGCCGTCCGTCCGTCCTTCCGTCTGTCCGTCCATCTGTCTGTCCGTCCCTATTAGCGCCTAGTGCTCAAAGACTAAGAGCTAGAGCAACGACATTTTATATTCGGACTTCTGTGATATGTCACTGTTACAAGAATATTTCAAAACTTTGCCCCGCCCACTTCCGCCCCCACACAAAAGACTAAAATCTGTGGCATCCACAATTTTAAACATACGAGAAAACCAAAATCGTAGAGAATGATCATATGTTTCAGACAGCAGAATCTGATTTGGATCGTATCATTATTATAGCGAGCATCAACAAAACAATTTAGTTTTTTTGTCGTGTCGTTTAATATTAGCGGCGTCTGCCGGAGGAGAGCCAGACTGACTAAGTATCGGGTATAAATGTAGAGTTTCGGTCTCCACAGCAACTCACAACGTTTTTTTATGGACGTTGACATGCAATGACTGCATCTATCAAGAGGCGATGCAATTACTGCACCGTCAAGTGGCCCGTGTGACACCAGCAGAAGGCTGTTACGCGCGGATCCCAGGCAAAACGCAGCCCTCCTCCCGCCCAACCGACCGAGGGGCGCTGCCGCATGACGCGCGGTGCGTAGCCGAACCAAACGCGAGCATGCAGAAAGATAGATATTAGACTAACATTCGAGGAAAATTAGCACGAAACTTACCAAGAAACTAAGCATGCAATCAAAATACAAATACCACTACAGTTACTAATTAATAGAAAGGTGTGTAAGGATTAATAATTTAATAAGAGGAAGAGAATTATTGTTGGATATAATATGGTAGAGGGAATTATAATCCGAGCATAAGACCCTAAACGGTTCATGCAAGGAATAATTCTATCTACAAAGTGGAAGGAACAACGGTATAAAATTTCTAGTCAGTCTAATAGGAATCGTGAAGTTTATGCGGCTCAACAGATCAGGGCTGTCTATGTCACCCCTGATCAAGTTTACTAATAATAGTCTACTAGAGTAAGATGGGAGTCTTACACCCGCATCCCAGTTAAGGCCCCGCAGAGCAAAGAGTAAAAAGTTTTTCTGTACTGATTCCATACGGTCCTGGTGTACTTTGTACTGAGGGCACCATACACAGGAGCCGTATTCTAAGATCGGACGAACAAGCGAGGTATAGAGAGTCTTTGTTATATAGGGGTCGTCAAATTCCTTTGACCACCTCTTTATAAACCCAAGCACGCCCATGGCCCTATTTACCATGGTAGAAATGTGTTCGGAAAACTTTAACTTGGGATCTAACATAACATCCAGATCATCCACCAGGGTAATTCTCTCAAGAGAACCCCCAAATAGGGTGTAGGGAGCCAACAAAGGGTTAGAACGATGAAATGTCATAGCTTTGCATTTCGAGGCATTAAGGTGTAACAAGTTTGCACAACACCATGACTGAAAGCTATTGAGATCGGATTGCAAGCGAGAATGAAATGAAATGTCCTTGTACTGGACACAGAGTTTAACATCATCCGCATACATAAGTACTCGAGAGTATGTTAATACTGAAGGCAAGTCATTAATAAAGAGTGTGAAGAGTAAGGGGCCTAGATGGCTGCCCTGTGGTACTCCCGAAGAAACCTTTACTGGTAAAGAGAGGGAGTTTTTGAAGAGGACTCTTTGAGACCTAGAACAAAGATAGCTAGAAATCCATCTCAGGAGGTTGGGCGGAAACCCTAAAAGGTCAAGTTTATGCGCTAAATGGGAATGGTTTACAGAGTCGAATGCTTTACTAAAGTCGGTGTAAATAACATCCGTCTGTAAGTTACATTGAAAGCCTTTAATAATGAAAGAGGTAAACTCTAACAAGTTCGTGGTGGTTGATCGTCGCCTTATAAATCCATGCTGAGTTGGAGATATAAGTGACTTGCAGAGATGTTGCAAGTGCGGAGTTAAAACCTTCTCAAGCAATTTGGGAATAGCGGATAACTTTGCTATACCTCTATAATTTTTGGCATCAGACTTGCTACCTTTTTTATGGAGAGGAATTATAAACGATTCCTTCCAGATTGGGGGGAAGCAAGAGGAATCAATGGACAGGGTGAATAGTTTAAGCAATGGTCCACACAGAGCCTCGGCGCAATACCTGAGTACACAACCTGGAACCCCGTCTGGACCCGGTGAAAACACCGGCTTAACTAGTCGAAGATCTTGAAGTGGGGAATATTCATTTAACAAGGGACTGAAAATGCCGTTCGACCTCGGTAATCCGTATGGGTACGGTTGACCAGAGTAGCGTTCCTCAGAATAGGTGGTTTGGAAAAACTGGGCAAAAAGATCGGCAATTGCCTGATCATTATTTGCCGACGTATTACAAAATGATAGCGAGGATGGGTGTGCGGACGTTCTACGATTACTGTTTACGAAGCAGTAAAACTGTTTAGGGTCCTGAGAAAAACGTATCCTGCAACGAGATGGGTAGTTCTTATAGCATTGAGCATTAAGAACTGAAAAGTTTGACCGAGCTATTACATAACGAGTGTGAGAAGTAGGAGAACCCACTTCTTGAAATTTTTTATAAAGTCTTGATTTTAAGTTTTTTAGACTGGATAACTCTTTGGTAAACCAAGGGGGTTTTCCAGATCTAATCGGACAAGAAAGCGGGACACAAGAATCAAAAAATGTGCCAAGAGCATTGTAAAAAATGTTTGTGCCTTTTGTGACATCAGTGCACAATTACAAAGCGGACCAATCAAAATCCCTAATAAGGTTTTAAGCTTCGCAAACTCGGCTTTACGAAAGCAGCGGACACGTTCAGGTAGTCTACTCGACCGATCCAATACAGTTGGTCCTATGTCTAGCGACACCTCGAAAGTAGGGTGGTAGGCGTCTTCAGGTATAGTGAGCGGAAGGGCTCGGGTTAACAACACTATGGTCGGATCCGATACAAAGCATAGATCAAGCAATCGACCCAAGGAATTTTTCACATGATTGACTTGAGACAGGGACAGGTCAAGCAAGCCGTCAACAAAGTCATGTCGTGACATGGGCACTAGGATACTAGACTCGTTTACCGAAGACCAAACAGTTCCTGGCAAGTTGAAGTCACCAAGAAC